CGGGTTGGAGATATGGGCTTTAGCAGAGATAAGAAAAAACACAATGCGGACACCGGGTGGCTGCGTGAAGGGAGCTTCGGAGATATAACAAATATTTTCATATATTCTGACCCTTGTGCCGACCCTTCATAACAGCGTTACTGATTACATTCCATTGTTATTGAAATATTAAACAATGTGCAAACACTGTTTATGATATCACTTTCTTTATGTGGGTTAATAGATGTAGTTTGTTTCAAGGGTTCTAAGCATTCTTATGTGTTGCTTTTGTACATACTAATATATATTTTTTGCCCTTAAATGTGGTAAATTTAAGCACAAGGTTGACAGAGCGTTAGTATTAAACACTATGGAAATTCGTACACGTGACCTGGTATCCGAATATACTGCAACTCATTCACTTTGGACCTATATACTATATACCTTCACCTGCGCTTTCAGTACAGCAAGCAATCGCCTGATAAACGCAAAGTTTTCCAAGATAGGTACAAGTCACAAATAATGTAACTGTACAATAGCTTTGCAAATACCAACAATTACAGCGAATAAATTGCACTTCTATTAGGTACTAGCTGAAAACGCGTCACGTGGGAAAATCTCACCTGCAGCGCTCGGAATATCCTTCACTAACCACAATTCTTCACCTGTACTTTCAGTACAGCAAACAATTGTCTGGTAGAGGCACAGTTTTCTAAGATAGGTACAAGTCATAAACAATTTAACTATACAGCTTTGCAAATAGCGACAATTACAGCGACAACATTGATCTTGTATTAGGTACCTACTAGCTTAAAACGCGTCACGTGGGAACGTCTCACCTGCAGCGCTCGCAATATCCTTCACTAATTACAATCCTTATCTGCATCAGATAAAGGGTCACAAAAAATCGTCCTTCCTTTCCTTTCCATTTTACATTTACATAATAATGCGTATAGGGCATAACGACCGCCGGCGAGGCAACAGGCGCATTATTTTAATAACGCCCGAGCGCTGACTTGACTATACTTTTTGTGTTGGCCTCCTGTAACGGCGAGGATCTCTAAGAGATTTTATGCAGTTCCAAGTATCCGAGATTAGGTAACTTTTGATGGCTTGATACATTCAATATTTCTAGACGTAGAATAGCTAAAGGAGTTTTATCTTGAGTTAATTTAGATGTGAAATTAAAATACCCTTGAATTACGCGAGAAATCGTACAATGGATTCATTGGCAAATTTAAGTTCATGGTTCCCAGCAAAACGCTAGCTATTGCAAAGTAACGGAATGTGTACGAGAGACAATGCAGTCCGCACTTTAATTGTGTAGAGCTCCCATATGACGTCTCCCCATTCACCACTTTAATATTCGGAACGAGTGCATGCGATTAAGTATGCTTTCTAAATATAGGGGGACCTTTCACATAGAAGATTTTTTTTATATTACAAGGGGTGCCAAAGACGTACCTATGAAACGGGTAGGTATATAGGGGCCCCAGTTATAATTGAACGTATGGTTTTGGACTGGGAATATCTTGGAGTCGCTTAAATTATTAAAAAAATTTTTTGACGATTTTTTAATAACGAGTGGCAAATTATAGGAATAAAATTCATAAATGACGGTTTTAGTTGAAATTACAGATTTACATACCTTACAGTACTTACATTTTGTAAATATGGCACTCAATAAATTTGGTTATGAAAATCAATCGATGTAAAGATACTTAGCGGAAAAATTTTGCTATTGATGGTGGCGCAAATACTAACTCTTTAGTGTTTGGAACCAATTCAAAATAATGCCAAGCCATAAAAAAGGCTACTCTATGGACTCTCCTGTTCGTTTCGCACTTTTTTATTTTAATTCCGATATAGGGATGGATAAAATTACGGTGTAGCTTTGTCTGGCGATTATTTATAGAAAATTTGGTGTCTTTGTGTCGCTTCCGAGAGCACGCTACCTTCGGACTATCCGTTTCAAATTACCGCTCCTCGCGACCCCGGAGTAACGGTGTTTTTTTTATAATATATAAAGTTCTTTTTGTCAGTATCAAGGAAAACCGTTAGATGTCTGAACGGATCGCTAAGAAATTGTCTATTTCCGATAATATTATGAAATTGGGTTCGCTGTTAAATAGACTCCAATAATGCGGCATGTAAGAAAAGAACTTATCTGTGATATATATCACATTTTGGCTAGGGAAATATTCTCTAAAAGGTTTAAAACAGTTTTGTACAATATTACACAAGTTTACTCAATTGTAAAATAATTATTATATTCGCAAAATTTTATAAAACGCCATCTAACTGATAATGGGAGAACTACCTCGACCGCTAGTCTGCTATCATGCATAGTTTTGGTGTATCATATATGGATAAGAAAAAATGGGATTATACACACCACAGAACTAACAAGCAAAATTGAAAATTAACCGAAACGATTATTCGTAATGACTGGTCAATACAAGAAAAGAAAACTTTTTGTAATGAAAATAAATAATACACGTGAGAGGTGTCTTTGTCGGCAATGCACTGCTCGACGCTGATTGGTCGAGGCAAGCGGCGGGGCGCATGCGCGCTCGAGCACTATTCGGTTGAAGCCGAATACTGGCGCGTTCGCACCGAGATACCAGGACAGCAGAGCTCTGTAGGAGTTACTTCATACGAGCTGCACGATCAGTTCAATCTGAGTCTTGTGACGTTGAAGTTGGAGCTAAAATCCTTTATCATCGGTTTGAATCATTTGCGTTAGACCATGCCGACAGATAACAAGGTGAGTGGTGCGTAGTTAGAAATAGCCTTTATGTCGTTGAACAACATGGTTTGTATTGCTTTGAAATAAGTTTATGTTGCCATTAAGTGGTTTCCTAAATTTGACACGGTGCTACGGGGAAGCCATTGGAAACTTTTAGGTTGAAACCTATCGTGCTAATGAATGGGTAAAATTAACTTACGGCTGTCTATAAACTGATTCCAACACTCGAAACATTAATCACTATAAATGTTGATGTAGAGGACAATGAACCTTTGTTTATGTTCTTATAAAGACGGTCCACAAGATGATATAAGAATTTGAAATACGCTCCATTGATAAAAATAAGATAAGACGATTGTGTATAAGTAAGCATGCTGAATCTTGAACAGTAAGTAACCTGAATGCATAAAGCGTAGTAGGGTTTACTAAATGCAAGAAACCTTAAAATAAATAAGCACCTGTTGAACCGTACCACAAACTAAGATATTAACCCTATAAATAATGCAACTGTGATGAGTTTTTTCAAGAAGGTAGAGTAAGAGGGAAGACTTGAGAAACAAGACTTAATGGCATTGATTTGATGTGCCAGAAAGACATGAAGGAGCAATGGAATGCGTAACTAAGTTATGAGTTTAATTTAAAGACCAAAATCATAATTCGAATTCTGAATAAGATAATTAAAATTTCTAAACAGGAAGGAAGGAGGAGGATTAGAATATAACCAAGTAAATATTGAACTAATTGTTTCGCGGCAAACACTAACTCGTCAACGTAAATTAAATCTGAACGCAAGGAAACTTGTACAGAAACCAATTAAGGCAACCATTACTAACATTTGCTTAACAAAGAAATTATGCCAGTGGGTGTGTCCAGTCATTAGTTAGCAATTTTATCGTAACTAGGAAGTATCTCAACGCCCACCTGAGACTAGACAATTTTCAAGCCATGTAAGGGCTTCAATGATTAAGTTAGCGAATTTAATACGAACACTGCCTTATTTATATTAAGACGCTATTCGATTGTAAATTGATTAGAACCTTAATGTTGTCGTAAATTTAACCTTAATTAGTATACGCTAGGATTTGCCGGTTAAATGATTCTATCGGTTTTTTAAAATATATAAATACCTGCCTATTTTATTATATATTATTAAGACTGTAAAAACGTAAAAATACAATAGCAGCTAGGTTTCGATAACAGCAAACTGTTTCTGCGCTTAATATTTCAGAATAAACTTTACTTACTCGCTATTGTTTATTCGGTGTAAATACATAACATTATGTAATAAAATTTAACGTTATCAAATACGTAACAGAACAACCAAAATTTGGAAATCAATAGTAAATCTTTTGTCAATTTTTACATCTTTCACGGTTTACTTCGTCTACTTACCGTAATCGATGACTCGAAGACTTGTAACTTACCTTCTCGATGCTGTTCTGTTTGTTTAAATAAGAATGCAACAAATGAGTTTGATGTTCGCGGTTTGCCCTCATGGTTGCAAGATCAAACATCATTTGTCGCTGTATAAGATGTAAAATAACTGTAATTTGATCTCTATTCAATAGAAAATTTGACAACCTTTGGAACGAAGGAGTCGAACTCTATGATTACTACGATACAGTTACTTTTTTGAGTGCAGTTGTTAAAGAAAATACAAAAATATATCATAACGTGCCACATGATATTAGGAGTTAGTCAGGTCACATTCCAGCTAGTAACAGACCTCATACGGAAAAAAAAACATTGTCACATAACAATGACAAGGTTGCCCCTGACACGACTTTTCAGTGCGCCAAACTTGTTTATCAAAAAATAAATATAATCTTAAGAAGGGCACCGTTCATAAAGGAGCATTCAGTCTCTTGCCCACAGTTTCTGAACATAAGACCGTGTAAGGGGACCCTTGATGATAATAATAAGCAACGAAAAACATGTGTGAATGGAACCCAAAACCCTTGCGATAATTTCTGAACAGCTGCTTACACGGCATCACAATAGTCAGATTAATTACACTAAAATACCTACATTAAAATCTAAATTACTAATAAAATACATGCATTGAGTAAATTTACTTCAACAAAGCATGAAAATTTTGCGTGATTTGAAATTAGGAACCAAGTAACAACCAAATTTCAACAAGCCAGGCGCTCTTGGCTAACAACCATGCAGTTAATTGTAAAAGCGCATCAAGAATATATAGCGGCAGATTTGTGATTACGACTGCTTTCGCAAGCTTAAGAATAGTTGAAGGCAAAAAAATAAAGCTCACCTTTCTAATCCTCTTCTTCATGATACGCTCGGCGGCGTACACGCTGTCGCCGAGCTCCATCTTATGCATCCCCAGTTTGGAAGGTGGTGAAATTGAAAAATCCAAAATAAAAACACTGCAATCCAGCAAGTGTAATCCTTTCACTGCATCCAAATTGTAGAGCACTGCGATCCAATTCACATTCTCTGTCACAATACACTTTTTAAGCACTGTCGGTGTTCAAAGTTGCCGCGCGAACGATCCCTTCGCGATGTAGAGCGGCACAATCTCCCCGTTGAACGTCACAGTCAAAACTGAAGAAGAGGGGGAGGTTCCCTGCCCCGCGCGCCCGTGAGCTTGTTTCCACAGAGCGCCGATAGAGAGCGCTACGAGTTCACCCAGCACCCGCTCGATATCTGTAAACAAGTTTAATTTCAACGTCGTGTTTTGAATTTTCAGTTCCCAAACAAATGAAATATTTTATAATAATGATGTTTTGTGTTTAGTCTGAGTATTTATAATGAACAACTTTCTATTAGATGAGTTGTGTAAGTACATAGGTGGTTTTATGTACGTTTTAGTATATAAGGCATTACATAAGGTACGTACATGACCAAAATTAATAATTATGTTAGCCCATATTCACTAAAGGCTGAGCTCAAAATGCTTTCTATTTATTTCAGGCAGTAAGCAAGCATCGTCATCAAATTGTGTATCGGAATGGTAGGTATTTGCGTCGGCAGTGAATGCGTTTCGTTTGAGCCGGTAGCAGGCAGCGGCAGAACGCTCCCCACAGAGCGCGGCAGCCGTGATACCGGGGCGCGACGTTGCCGCTCCTCGCCAGCTGCGAGAGAAAGATCCGAGCGCTACCCTATTATTTACGCGCGATGTTGCCACACCGACCGGCCTACGTTGATTACGAGGACACCGCTTTACGTTCGATCGTCCGGCATTAAAATGAATGTTTACAGCACTGCTTTCTACATTTACTGCGTTTTTATGAAAAGTAGAAACATTATTACGACTTTAGGCTTAATCTCAGAATAAAATGGGGACATACCTTGTGTATATAATGTATTGGTTTATAGAGTCCAACAGTTACTCTAGCTCGTCACTTTTTGTCCAAACACACCTTTAGTTCAGTAGCTGATTTTGTCAGCCAACTTCAATTTTTACTGAAACCGGCAGCGAAAGCGACCAGCCAACAGAGCGCGCGTGAAGTAACTAAGGCATTTTCGGTCGTGTCGAATCGGGCCGGCATTCGTGAAAGGTCGGTATTTTAGGCTTCGCGGGGCGCGGGAGGAGAAAAGCGAACAAGCGCCTTATTGGTCGTGAAACGCAGGCGGCGGGCGAAGTGCAGCTCTATCCAATAGAAACTTGCGACGCGGTGCCCCGCCCGACGCAGACCGGCTGCCGCGTGTTGCTCTCTCGCTCTAGTAGAGTCAATCGGTCGATCCCAGCTTTGTTTTTTACGCAGTGGGTTCATATAGAAAAATAAACGGACATTTTGGAGAACGTGTGAGCCAAGCGAAGGGTCGCCGGATCCGGGCGCGGTGGAGCACACATTTATTTATTGTGTTGGCATTGTTGTAGGGAGAGAGATATGGCCGATAAATAGATACAGCTTGCATTGACGCATACGCGCGGTCCAATGCTCTGATAAACAAAGGAATGTTATGCGAGTACAGCGTGCTTGTTATAGAAACTAATTGTTTTACTACAATATCGTGACAATGGTTTCAATGACTTGCATATCTTTATAACAGTCCACACGCGGCATGCCTTGTAATGCCACTGAAAAAGAGTGAAATGCACAATTCGTCCAACGTGGTGGGTTAAAGGCCAAATCCTCTCTTTAGAAGAACCCCAGTAGCGGGATCTAATACTTCAGTAACTTTTGTACGTTCAGTATCTTTTGTCGTGTTGCGTACGCACAACCACTCACGAAAGTTTTATAACAATCAGATGAATAATAATGATTATAGAGTTTGTAGAGGCATTGCAAACATAGCGACACTTTATATATCGTAGAACTTAAATGTTATTATATTGGAATCTAAGAGAAAGCTGTTAGTCTTAGGGTGCGTTCCCATTATGTCGTAACGTTTTATTTATCGTTGGACGACTGTCGCGACTAACCTGTTCCCATATCACGACTATCTGTCGTGATTGTGTGGTGGACGTTTATTTTATCGTTGAAGGGTTATCGTCTCTAGCTGTTCCCACTAGATCGTGACGACATTTTGCAGTTCACGGTAGCCGCCATGTTGTTTACACGACAAAATCGTTTGAAGCTGCGATTATCTGTAGTCATATTTTTATCGTGACGTTTTATGTATCGTCTGACGACTGTCGTTCTAGCTCAATAAAGTTGTGAACGACAGCTAATCGTGTTGTACTATGTGTGAACAACTTCATTTAAATATACAAGCCACGACACTTTAAACTGCATAACTATCTGTCGTCACGACATAATGGGAACGCGCCCTAAGACTTAAATCTTTCACGTGAACACAATACGGCCTTGGTCCAATGCTCGTATATGCAACAAGCCTTCCATTACCTGCACAGCCTTTTAAACGATAGAGGTGACACAGGTTCGATCTTAATTAAAACATATTTTCTTGACTCTACCTATATCTTTATAAATCGAAATTTTTACAGAGCCGCAATAGCCCAATGGATTGACCTATAACCACCTCTCAAGCAGAGGTCGTGGATTCGAATCCCGGTTTTAATTTGAAAACATGAGCTTTTCGGTGAAGAAAAACATCGTTATGAAACCTGCACGACAAAGAAGGTTCACAACCCTCGGAAAACGTGTCCCAACCCGCATTGAGCCAGTGTTGCGGACTATGCCCTAAACTCGAGAGGAGACCCGTGCCCAGCAGTGGGATGTATGTGATAAATAATGTATAACATTTCACTTAATTTATCTACAGAACATATGATTATTTTATACATAATACCTAAGAATCGTTGCAAAGAGACCATTGCTCATTGAAAATTTGAGCACTGTTCTATGTAGAGGTGCGCCCGTTTTGTTTTTTATGAACCATAATATGTCAATATCTACCACTGATTGACAATGCGGAAGAACATTTTGATAACACACTAATTGTTGACGGAATCGTATTTAATTGAAAACATTTTTAGACGTATCTGAAATTGACTCCGGCTTCAACATCCAGGCATCAACAGCCGAATGGACTCATCATTGACATTATATTACTCTTCTTCTTCTTTTCAACCTCTGTCTACTCAATTCTGAGCGTAATTTCTTCCAATACCTACACACCATTTCTTTCGATCTTATGTCTTCGAGATCCAATTTTTCCACGCCACTTTCTTCAGTCGAGTAGCGAACAATCAACAATTCCTGAGGATGCCTCGTAGAGAGGGGAAACAAGTGTCGGGTATACTTTTGGAGATGGTGTGACTGTAGTTCCGTTTAATTATATCCGGCTTTCGGATCGCCAGCACTAGCCGGAGAACTAGTAGAGGATAAGCTAGATACTCTCCGGTCCCTCCAGCCGCTTAGGAATTTTGAGAATTGGAGAGACGCTTCGGCGTCGGGAGGTGAGCGTGTCGAGCGCTCCGCTACCAAATTCGGTAGTTGACTCAACTACAGCTTAGCGGTGGCAACCACTAGTTCAGGTCAGGACCTGACTGACTGTCCCCGTGCGGGCTTACTTGCATGGTTAATAGTGCCCTTCCCATATAACCAAAGAGTTGAGTAGGGAGTAACGTAATCAAAACTTAGTAGAAGACATGAGACTGTAGTTGCGCTTGTTTTATATATTTTATTAATTTCATACGGAAAGAGGGTGGGAAAATTAAATGTATGATAAAAATATTCTACACAAGCGCTGCTTATAAAATATTATAAATATTCTGCACCCTTTAACCTTTAGTGGGTTCGCGGAGTAGAAATTTAAATTTACTTCCATTTTGTTTTAGTTTGACAAGGTCGTCAGTTTAGCGCATCGGCACCTAAACTCCTGCAACTTTCTATGGGTCTCCACTTAAGCATCTTTTATCCCATCTGTGATCTTTAGTACGGCATACTTGTCACATTCCATTTTTAGTTGGCTGCTGAAAAGATTCTCCGGATCTCTGTGTATTTGAATCGATTGTGGAGACAGAGGCTGTACATTTAATTACTAAATAGGTATAAAGGTATAAGAAGCGATGGTAGCCCAACGAAAATACGGTTACTTGTCAACTGTGAGGTCGACGCATCGAATCTCAGTAACGGCATGTAGGTACATACATTTCTGAAAGTTTTATTAAATTACCTCTTGATAATGATGAAGGAACACATCGTGATGAAACCTGCGTGTCGAAGAAGGTTCATAATCTTTGGAAAACGTTTGAAATCCCCAATTCTCATTGAGCTAGCGCAGTAGCTTAAATCCTCCCTTTAGAGGAGCTCGTGATCTCGTGATTGTTGATGATAATAAATAGAATAAAGCACGATTGATGATTTTGAAACTTTATGACGGAGATTAACCACTTAGTTTAATGTAGACGTAATTCCCTACGTCTACGTAGTACGATAGCCCCTGACTCACTATGGTCGACCCCGAGTAATTACGATCGACTCAGTTTTCCTGACGTTAAATGACGAAACCTTCTCTAGAAAACCAGTTTTTGGGATAGAACAGAAACTTGATCATCCCAGAACACGTGGGAACTTCTACAAGGCGATATTTAATGAAATAATCTAAGGAATGTTTAGTATGAGTCGATAGTTAAATTATCGGGGTTAGCGCTCGATAGGAATGGCGGCGATTTTTCAGATCTATTAGCAAAGACCAGCCTTAGAGAAAGAGTAGAGCAGCGTTACTGTTTATCACTCATTCTGCTAAGGAACATCAACCTGAGCCTGACAACAAAGCTTTAAAGCAATAGACCTGCAAAATATTACATGTAAAGCGCGAAACAGTGGAACAGATCGGACGTACCTAACCGATATTTCGTTCAGGGTACGCAACGTGCACGTTAATTGTTCAGTTAAGAGGTTGGTACTCGCATGCGGCACTGTGCACCAGCAGCTGTGGCCAGCAATGTCGCTCCACGTGGGGTATCTATCAGGAAGACACAAGCCTAATATCCCTTATAGTATCAGACTGTACAGCATGATTCCGATTTCTTTTAACGAATACACTGCCAACGTTAATTTTCTGCGCATGTAATATACTTATAGGTAGGTACTTATACGCCGCCACGGGGATTTGAGCCGCCGATCTCTATATTAAGAAGTAATCATTTTCCCACTATACTTTGTTTTGACAAAAATTTAAACCATGATACTGTCAATTTCGTCATTTAATTTTAGTTTCC